TTAAACGTCAAAAAGCTCTATAGAAGTGTAAACAAACCACTGTAAAAGATTTTTGATTCCCATCATTAGAGGCGCGTACCAATTTACTTTTAGGCAGCCTTTAACAATACTTCAAATTTGAAATATGTTGTTTATGTAATGGAAGATTTTCTAAGTCTTGAAATTTGTTCCAATAAGTCGAAAATCTTAAGCTTATTGTTTCAAGCTTCAGAATTTGAAAAATTGCCTGAAGTCTTAAGATCATATACTGCCTATATCGCAATATAACAAAACATGCCAGCTTCATGGCAACTAATTTCAACTTGACAAAATCATCGATAAATTTAATATGATTTTTTTTAAATATTTACATGGAAATAGCACTTCTTAACTGCCATTTTTTCAATTCCTTCTTTTTCCATATGGGACTGATATGGGATCAGTGTTGGAAAAGTTCGCGATACTTCACGAAATTCACCAAGGGAAAAGTTCGCGAGTCATAGTGAGTTTTCGCGAACTTTTCCATCACTGTATGGGATTATAGGCAGTATAGACAACCGGTCAGCACTCGTGTTTATTTCAGTTTCCGTGGGGACATAATTTATGATTAGCCCGGTCCCTTTCAAATTGTATCATTATTTATGTACGGCCTTATATTTGAAATGCAGATTCACATTCATCTAGTGATGGCCGATTTTTATTCGCATAATCGATTAATCGATTAACGAACCGAAAAGTAAAGTATTTGTAATCGGTTATATCATGCCGATATAAACATTAACTTCTCCACATGATCATCACCCATCGTTTCAAACATGTGCTGCACTCTCATTGGTGGAAAAATGACAGCACAGCGAACAAAAAATAATCGATTAGTTGTTAATCGATTAATTAAAAAATGGGACATCTCTGATTTTGGTGTGATTGTTTTGATCAAAAAGAGCGCACAATGTCATCTCTACACTGAAACAAATCGACATGCACCGTTTATTGGATCCATCTTCTAACATAGCAATGTCAGCAGATTTATTCATTCTCCCCCCTATTCTGCGAGTCACGTGACTCTCTCTCACCGGTGAGGTGACAATAGTCACCTCGTGTGAGGTGACTCTCCATTTGATTTGCACGGAGAGTCACCTCACACGAGGTGACCATTGTCACCTCACCGGTGACAGAGAGTCACGTGACTCGCAGAATTAGGGGGTCTATGTGATGATTGATAGATTCCCTTGGATTATCAGTTAAAAACTATGACTGCGATATGGAATGATTTCTATCGTAATTTCACATACTCAGTACTTGATAATACTTTGCTTCGAGCGTGGTTAGCGATAGATAAGATGTATATGAATATTGTCTGATATATTTCATGGTGAAAAACTGGTGATATGTAATGGGTGGGAACAGACATCTAGAAACTAATGGAAAATCATATACGTTTGCACTATGAGAAAATTCAGTAAAATATACCTGTTTTCATGATGAATATTGCTCACCAAAAGATATATCTTATAAGATAATTATGTTTATTTTATTGGACTTGCTTTTAACGATTTTTGACGTTCGTTGATATGTCGCGAGTAAACAGACATGTAGAAACTATTGGACAGTCATTTAACTTTGCAGTATAGGAAAACATGTACATCTCATTGTAATAGCTTTCTTTGATTTTTAACGTTTAAAGATTGTAAACAGATCTATCCCAATCATTATATAGTCATATAGATTTGCCTTTTAAGAAATCCAACAGCAAATATTTTTTTTTGCATGGTTTTCTGGGATGAATATTGCTCCCAATAAAATACATCTCACATGATTGTTTTTGATAAATTTTCAACGATGTTATCGTACACTCATTAAAATGATTAGTCGAACTAAATATAGCTAACAACAATGATACTGTATTGAATAATCCTTGTTTGTTAATGTTCCATAAGATAAGGGGTTCCGGAAAAGAATGTATTGAGATTGAAAAAAAAATGATTCTACTGCAATATTTACTTTGCTAAGATTCTAATTGTAAGCCTTCTACACACACTTAGAAATTATCGCCGACTTCGGTATTTTTTACCGAAATCTGAACAGCTGAACTGTTCGGTAAAAGCTACTTTGATACTAAATCTCTACTAAAATGACAAGATTTGATCATTTAAACAAGGTTGAACATGTTATGAAACTATTTTCAAATTCAATTGCCTTTAAAATGAAGGTCAAAGTTGTACCGAATGTTCAGTTGTTCTGATTTCGGTAAAATTTACCGAACACGGATGATGTTTGCAGCATATCTTTGATATGACACGAACATCAAACCGGCTAGACCTTCTGCGTTACATTTGCCGCAAAGATGATTCTGTGAAATGATTCGAGTTATAAATCTATTTAAACAGCGATGCATTTTGTGAATCTACAGGTGTGGAAAGATGCGTGGACATACCATCAAACGCTCCGACTTATGTATGAATGAATGTAACAATAATATGTGACGAAATTAATGATTTATATAATATAGTATAATGGAAAGATCTCACCAACTGCCTCCAATGTTAGCCAAATTTCTAATTTATAGATAAATATAGAATGATCGCACCAAAACTGGTTAACTTTCCCGGTCTCTTCAAAACTGCTATGAAATGAAACAAATGGAGACCTCCTTCGGTCGTTTCTTCTTGATGTAACTGCATCGGACGATTGGAGGTTTAATGGAGATTTCTTTTTTCGCAACTACCACTTGATCGGGGATCCAGCGGTTATTTTAGGGCGGCAACCCAATTTTTCTGTACATTACGTAGTATTCCGTGGATCCATTTGTCTAGGATATAACACCTTTGCCCGGCACCACCACTGGATCTTCATGACCGCTATCTGTCACTGTTTGCAAAAATATTTAATAGCAATTACCTTTGTTTTAACGAAAACAAATTTTCTTGCATGTTCATGGTCATCTGGGAGGAGGTTCGCGTCTTGTGCTTTTCCCAGGAACTGTTCGCGGCTACCAGCTACCGCCCGCCCAGTCTGGGGCGCATCCAACGAGGCATCCTTCAGATTGCTCGCATTCGACACAGGCGAAAGACCAGCAGCTGAGCACTTTTGCAAGCGGAAAACTACCTAGTTCACGGCAACGTCGGCTACCGAATCACCACCAAAACGCGTGACGGACACACCGGACACGGACCGGGTTGGAACTCGCCCACGGTGACGAGACTCTCGATAGAACTGCACCCCGAAAGTTTGGCATCAGAATTCAGAAAGCCCGGGAGGGCTCTATAGTACAATTTCATGAACACTTTAAACTCAATTACAGCACAAACAAAATATGATGTTTAAAGCAAAAAATTCCAAATCCTCGGAAGAAAAACACGCAGCAAAAATAAGCACGTCAGATTTCAAACGCGGCTTACTTAGATTGCCTGTAAATTAATGATTACCAATTCGCGATATATTCCACGTAATGATGACCAACAATATAAAACCATCCATGAACCTTACTGACTATCATAACCCTTACCATTAAAATTCTCAAACCATAAGTAAAAAGGTTTAATATAATTCCTTCTCCATAAAATGTACGGACAAAACAAGAATTTTGAATGGTAAAGGTTCTTAACAACTCATCGTTTGTAAGATTCACTTTAAAAAAACATAATACATAAGGTTAAAACTTTATCATACAAACGTCCATGTAAAGTTCCATAACCATTTCAGTTAAAGTTTAGCAGGGATTTTAAACAATTTTGAACCATTTTCGGTAAGGTCAAGTTGTGGTTTGCGTTTATGCGGGTTGCTCAATTGATTCAAAATGTAAAACATACGTTTTATTAAGCCTGCTGCCATCAAACCATGGTATTAGAAACCAAAAAGTACGGTGGTGCCCTAAATCCGTGGTTTTAATGCTTACAATATTTTGTTTTGTACGTGTGTGTAAACAGTTGTCAAATTTGTTATGCATTCGTAAAGATACCATACCAACGTTTGCGGTAATTATTTAGAAAAAAAAAATATTCAAGTTTATTCCAACTGCCCAGCTGCTGCGGGGAATTAGTACAGGTCACGGTATACAGTAGGTTCCTACCAACTAACAATTTTACCTGCCGATAAGCTTATACAGCCAAAATTAACCTTATGCAGCTAATTTTTGCTTGTATAAGCTGGTCGGCAGCTAAAATTGTTTATTTGGTAACTACTTAACTATCATGTTAAATTAAGATATACCATATATGATTCAAGGAATTTCGGAATTCATAAACACTTACTTATGTCACACTGTAACTGCTTACCATTCTGTTCCATAATGTATTACTACTTTGTTTTTATTAATAATCACTTTGCAGTATGCGTTTAAATAATACCTAAATGAGTGATGGTTTCCTTGCTACTGAATATGATCTTTATACCCTTTGTGTTCCTAACGATAACGATTTTTTTTCTTTTAACTGTTACTTGACTGGTACCTAGCATTATGCGTATGAATCGCCACCTTCATCTTCAATTTCAAATTGTTGCTTCCTAAGTTTTAAACTGCCTTTATAGTGTACTCCAAATGTACTTCAGTGATTCAATTTCATACTGCTCAATTTTAGGTTTTGTTTTTTTTTCAGATTTAAAACTATTTCATATTGATAGATTTCAACCATGTGCTTAAACTTTATTCAAATTCTGTAAAGATGATTTCGCTTTTTAGTTTTTCTTTCTGTTTTTTTTTTCCACTAACACGATTTGTTAAAACTATGTTTTAGCTTTAATTTTTCCTTTTATTCATTGATAGTGAGATGATATAGTTTTTATAACAAGGTGCATTCATTCGTGTTTGTAATTGAAATCTGTTCCTTAACGTTAGAGGCTCAATATCTATGTTTGAGGGAAAGAAACATCATTTGAGTGTACTCTTTAAAAGGATGGATGTTCTACTCTGGTGATAGAATAATTATATACAATTTTCGATTGTAGCTGTAGAGTTTCCTACTAACTGGAAAGGAAACAACTCTCGAAATAAATGGAAGGTAATTTAGCGTGCGACTAGTCTCTTTTCAGAACAAACGATGGCCTGGTTTAAGTAAAACAATTGAAATCACAATCATCTGATGTCTACTCATCAAATCGGAAAAGATTCAACTGCTTAAAGCTTGTTCGTATTGATATTTATGCGCCTAATTTACACATGTTGCTACACCGAAAACTACCACTTTGTTTGGAGTTACTAATTTGTATGTTAAAGCTACGAAATAGGTTGATTCGCGCTAGTCGGTGAGGTTAGAATCTCGGCAACTTTGGATCAAACAGCATCCAATGAGCTTTGACCAAAGGAAAGAAACAAAACGAGACTGCTCTACAGTTTTGCAAAAGATGGAATGTTGTAGTAAAATAATGCGAAGAAATGTATGGAGTTCTAATTAAATTGATCGAACAACCGTTTGCGATAGAGATGAGTTCGGGTTCGAAAGTAACAATCAGCCCATTGTCTCCTTCGAGATTATCTTTTTCTAAAATATTAGATAAATGCGATCGAGAGTGCTTACTATATCTAAACACGGTTCGGGTCCCAAGACCTAACAGAAGAAAATGCCTTCCAAATCGTGTTGAAGAGGAAATGATTTGATTGTTACTTCAACAAACATTCACCGTTTTCCGTGAGTTTAAGCTACTGTTGATAGATTAAGCTTCAATACTTTTTTTTTAGCGGCAGACTGCAACTTGAGCAGTTGTTAGTAGTAGAATAAAAACAAATATGTCGATGGGTGGGTATAACTGGACTAAAATAAGTACCATCTACTCTACAACCGGATGGACAATTTTGCATAGATTACAAACTTATCTTAGTAAAATTTCGATTATCTTACACGAACTAATAATCACATGAATCTTAACTAAAAATGAACTAATATGGATACTTTTTGATTGATAAAATCACATATACTTTCCTCGTTGGGACGCAAATATTTTAAAATAATATGTGTTAGTTAATTGGCAAAACCATTCGGACACTTGATAACTTTACTTTTTCTGAAAAAGTTTTGGCAAAAAAACGTAATCTGTGCTCTTGACATCCAATTCAGATAGCATTAAATCAATCTTAGTGTAACAGAAAATGCCGCCAGTTTTTATTCACCATTTTTTACGTCCTGCACGATGTTACTGAATTGTTCTCGTTTTGTCTAGAGGACCTTCTCATCATTTTACAAATAAATTATATTAAGAGATATAATTTGTCTAATTGCTATACTATTGCGCTCCATTCATCGGTTTGTCTGGTGGAGCTACACAATTGGATACCACCTGTCAAGTAGATTACTCCCCGGTGTCATCCCAGGATCGTTCTTCCATTATCCTATCAAAACAATCGGCCAGGAACGCATGCTGAAATGATACAAATGAGAAGCTCAAACCGGATAACCCACCTTCAAATATCGAACGCTATCAACTTACATATGGCGTGAATACCTTCACCCATCGTGGTGGTTTGTCAGATCTACTGTACTGGAAGCAGAATGCCATCGATTCTTCGTCGCTCTCCCAGCGCGAAATCGTGTTCCACTGCAGTTCGACGGTCTGTGCTTCGAGGGCACCGTCCTCGCGGCAAGCGTGCAACCGGAAGCTTTTCATACCAACAGCCGGCACGACATGGCCTTCCTTGCGACTGTCGCAAGCGCAATGTGGAAACACTAGGTCACCGTAGCCGGGAAGGGTCCGCGCCAGCGAGAGATACTCGTCCGCTTTCTTCGAATCCTGTAGGGCTTTGAGCTCGTACAGGCGCCCGTCGGCGCGGATGTTACCCCGGTTCACTTCGTCCACGGCCTGAAAAATGGAAGCGCAAAATAAAATGGATTTAATCGTGCTAAATTTAGCTCTGGTCTAAGTATGATTATGAGTATGATAATGTTCATCAATAAGAAAGTTGAGTTGTATCGCATTAAGGTAGATATACCTATATATATATATATATATATATCTTCATCGACTCTCTTTGACGACGGCATGGCAAACACGTTTCGTGCTATAACGGCAAAATATGGTGGGAAAGTCACGGGCCCAGATGCTGACGAAGCCCCAATGTCTCATCATGGATGATGAGACTTACTTCAAGGCGGACTTTCGGCAGCTTCCGGGGCTACTTTTCTTCACCGCCCAGCACAAGTTTAATCCGGAGGAAGGAAGGAAGCAGAAACTTTCAAAGTTTGTAAAGAAATGCATGATTTGGCAAGCGATCCGTTCATGTGGAAAAAACGGATTGCGCCGTTCGTGACTACCGGGACTGAAAACGGGAAGATCTACTTCAAGGAGTGTCTACAGAAGCGTCTGCTTCCTCTGTTGAAACAACACGAGGGCCCTACGATCTTCTGGCCGGATCTAGCTTCGTGCCACTATTCAAATGTTGTCATGGAGTGGTACGAAGCCAACGGGGTCACTTTTGTACCCAAGGTCATGAACCCCCCCCAACGCACCGGAACTAAGGCCCATCGAAAGAAACTGGGTTATTATGAAGCATCCCAAGGAGGTCAAATCTGAGGAAGACATGAAGAAACAGTGGGTTTCCGTACAAAAGAAGCTGCAGCCAGATGTTGTACAGAACCTAATGAGTGGAGTTAAGCGTAAGGTGCGAGCGTACGGTTATGGTATTGAAGTTTAATGAAATAAATATGCCAAAAGCCTCAGTTAATGGGACTGCAATGAAGATATATAATCTTTCATAAAGTAAATTACGAACTTGAAATAAATCATTTTCCTTAATTCAGGCACTTTGAAAATTCTACATATCTTGATCTTGTACTTGGAATACGAAACTGCTGTCGGCTTTCCTCATTCCCTTGAATTCCACAGTGACCAGGAACCCAAAATAGGTTCACTTGGTTTTGGCAGGCCAATTTTTGGAGTGACATTGCACATTCCCATACAAGTTTAGAATTACATGTTGCTGATTTTAAAGCATTTAGTGCTGCTTGGCTATTAGACATAATGCAGATATTCGAATGTCTATAATTTCTTCGCAAGCAAATTTAAGAACATTCAAGAATTGCTTGGGCTCCTGCTTGGAACACGGTAGGCCAGTAGCCCATAGATATTGAGATATTTATTTCTGGACCTGTTACCCCTGCTCCTACACGATTATCCAATCTAGAGCCGTCTGTATAAAAGACAATTGACCTTGGACGAATGTTTGGTCCCCATTATCCAAATAGCGATCCGCATCTGCTACATTGTAAAGACGATCGAAGTGATATTTTTTCCATCCAATCTTCATTTTGTATCGCAGGAGAATCAATATTGAACATTTTTAGGATGCTCTTGTGTCCTCTAAGATCACCTTCAAGGAAGTGCTGTGACCGGCGGATCCTTAATGCACTCCTTTCGGCTTCTAATTGAATAAATTGATGCAACGGAAGCAGATAAAGTAGAGCATCTAGTGCCATACTTGGTGTGCTGCTCATTGCGCCAGTTATTGAGAGAGTGGCTAGTCTTTGCAGCCTCCCCAGCTTCTCCTGAGCTGATTTTTCATTGGTTTTAGACCACCAAACCAATGATTCATAGGTTATTCTGGGTCTTACAATCGTCAAATAAATCCAGTGGGTCATTTTAGGTTTTAGTCTCCATTTCCTACCAAAAGTTTTTTTTTACTTATCCAAAGAGCATTTATTGCCTTACTTTTTTTTTTTTATTATAGTCACTTTAACACTCTTGGGTCATTCGTGACTTGTCCGGGGTGAGATTTGAACTCGTGACTTTGGCGTGAGAGGTATGGATGTCAACCACTAAGCTGGAGTCGCCCCATATTGCCTTACTAATGACTTGCTCTAGATGCGAATTCCAATTTTGTTTGCTGTCAAGAGTAACTCCCAGATAATTGACTGTGGTTGAAAGTTCTAAAATTATTCCTTTCAGTTTAATACTATTTAAGAACATTTTTTTGACGTAGGACTACGTCTTTGATTTCTATATGAGGGTACACTTTGTGAAAACCAAAAATAGAACATGTAACAAATTAAGAAAGATTTTGAACGTTAATAACTCAGCTGCCCCTGGTCCAATTTCAATAATTTTATCACCAATCGATCACCAATAATGGCTACGCATCGATAACAATGCTTCCGAATGTTGATTTTCAACTAGACACTATTTAAAAACTAGTAAATGTCCAGTATTGTCCAAAAGCGTCGAATTAACTAACAAATCCACAAATTACCTACATGCATATGCTGCTTCCCCAGCACAGTCGTCAGAGAGTAGTAAGTAGACGAAACAAGTCGAAGTGCGTGTTGTGGAATTGCGTAATATTTTGCACACTCATCGCCATATTCAGAACCAAACGCAAATTCTTCGAGATAACCGCCATCCGTCGTCTGGCTCACCGTGGCGGTGTCTGACGTATCTCCGGTCTGATTTCCGAGGTGCGCTGAAGATGTTCCTGAAAAATAAGATCCGTGATGCTGTCACCTACACTAAACACGCCAAGCGTAAGCGGCCATGGATGTAATCTACGTTTTGAAGTGACAGCACTCTGTTTGGTTTCGGAGGTTAAATCATCACCAACTTTGGCAACAAAACGGCTCTTTTCAGGGCCACCAAGCTACAAATTATTTTGATCAACTTTGAATCGCCACGGCCGGATATTTTCGATGGAAGAAACAACAATCTAGCATCTAATTCGACGAAGACGGCAGGAAACATTTGTGAAGCCGAGTTATTTACGAAAGAGAGTGTCGATGAAGAGAATCGATCAATGTAGATAGCACCTATTGAAAAGTGACGCGAGATTTGTTTTCCGTACTGAGCGCCAATGCTACCGACGACAGGGAGCCAGATCCCACACCTGGACCCTACAAATCGACCCATCAACTCAACCGGGGACCAACGGCTTTACTTCCCGAAGGAAGGCGTGATCAGAGATGTTACGCCTTAGAACATGCCGGTGGCGCCGACTGAGAACCAGGCCTGCTGGAGTGAGAGGTAATCACGCTAACCACCCGTGCCGATATCTTTCAAGGTGATATCACGGCGAATGAGATAGACCCAAATTTGAGTTTAGTTATTAGTTATCTCAGAAATAAGAAATAAAGTGCAGGAACTCCGCGATGAGTAAATTTGCCTCATGTTTTCCCAGGATTTTCCAGGGAAAAATTCCCGAATTTGTGAAAAGTAAAGATTGGATTTACTCAGTCTATTGGTACTACTCCGAGACTGAATAAAATTTTCGTCAATTTCCTCATTTTAGGTTTTCCACAGGAAACCATGAGACAAATTTACTCATCGCTGAGTTCCTGCACTTTTGGCGATTATGAGTGAACTAAACTCAAATTTGGGTCGTTCTCATTCGCCGTCTACGCAAAAGGAAAAGAGCCAGTGTCGCTACTTGATAGCAAACTACTCATAATGGGAGGAACCTTTGTAGCTTTTATACCACTTGGTTGCACATCATTCTGCTTTAACCTGAAATGATATAAAAGAGCGCTGCTGTTTGGCATTAGCTAATTTTCGCTTCGGACGGCGTGGTGAACAGCAATAGCAGCAGTAGGAAGGTGGTGGCTAGTCCACTCCTTCACACCTAACAAGCAACAATTGACTGGTCGTGGCAAATGAGGAAAAGGTCTGGTAAAGGAGGCGCCAAGCATCATCGCAAAGTTCTTCGAGATAACCGCCATCGGTCGTCTGGCTCGCCGTGGTGGTGTCAAACGTATCTCCGGTCTGATCTACAAGGTGTTCTGTAGGTGTTCCTGGAAAATGAGGTCCGTGATGCTGTCACCTACACTAAACACGCCAAGCGTAAGTGGCCATCAAGCTTACATCAGTAAAGAGTTGGAATAGAATTTATCTGTGCTTGTTTGTCCATATTCAGAACCACAAGCCCCCAACGACCACACTAAATGCTCTCCAGATTTGTAATCTTGTAACCAAACATGGAAGCAGGGGTGCAAGTAATTTTGATTGATTCTCTTAATCAACTTTCTCTTTGAAAAAAAAATACTACAAATTTGGTACGCCTACAATTCAAAAACGGAAAGAGTTGAGATAATAGATAATTGATCAATTAAAAGAACTAAATGCTCTTCACATTTATTCCGTCCACTAGCGGTCCTACGTCAGCTTCCGTTCGTGCCCCTAGGCACAGACCCTTCTACTTTTTTTTCTTCGTGTGAATGGTACAACAGTTGTTTTAGATGGATTAATATTTAATCCTTCGCTAGTGCACCACGATGAAACATAATTTAAAGCAATTTGCATTCTACTTGAAATGACATAGGGTTTTTGATCTTATTTCCGTCCGCGTACTTTACCTCTCTTTCCTGAACGAGTTTAAACTAAAAATGGAGTATTTCTGTCATTGATGACTTCTAAATTTATTCACCTTTCCATACCGTTGGATTTGATAAAAAGCCACAAATTGTTGAGATATTGTTTAAAATCTAATACTGCTTCTTGATTCTAAATTCGTGCTACGAGTTTCAATTCCGTCCTAACGCATTGAAACGCCATTAAATTTCTTCGTCCTACGGATAAGCGTAGAAAAAGGGGATTCGCAGGGAGCGCTTCTTTTGTTTTGAGAACAATGAGCGTAAATATTCATACAATGCGCTCTAACAGGGTTTATGTTGTAGCTAATGAACTAACGCATCGGAACAAACATATTATTGATTTGTGCACGGTAAAATCATTGATATTATTGATCTTTTCTGATCGATAGAACGGAAATGGGCGATTACGACGAAGTAGCGCTCTACCCTAGTCATATTTTCTACGTACTAATATGACTATATCATCTGCGAAGCCAATAATCTCAAAGCCCTGTGCTGAGAAGATCATCAACTATTAAAGATCACAGTAGAGGTGAAAGAACACCTTCTTGAGGACACCCTTTTACAGCTCTCATTGTTATGGATGACCTTCCAAAGGTTTGCTGAGATTTCTCTTTTGCTAAGCATTTCGTTTATCCAATTAACTATGCTTTTATGGAACTTTTGTTTCATCATAGCGTTTTTCATTGAGTGATAAGATGCATTATCAAATGCTCCTTCAATATCAATGAACGCTGCTAGGGAAATTTCTTTTGATTCAAAAGATTTTTCTAGTTTTGTAACCAGCGTATCCAGAGCTGTTACTGTTGATTTACCAGTTTGATATGCAAACTGATATTTATTTAAAAGAATATTGTAACCAAGTACTTTGACTTTAAATACTCATCTTTTATTTTTACTATTATCTTCAGCATAATGGAAGAAAGGCTAATCAATAGGCTTAGGAAGCCCTAATTTAACAGTTGTGGAAGAACTCTTCAAAAATCTACATCTGATCTATTTCACAGTGTTACAAACAAATTAAAATTAATTGAACTTTTCAAGTGAATTATTCTAAATTTAAAGTTATTGTTAAAAAATCAATTATGGGTTAGTGATCACATAATTTTTGATTTTTAAACGGTTTTGGAAAGCAAAAAGTCAGAGCTTTTGAAATACACACTTATGGTGATTTTACTGAAATTCGTTGAGATTTTTTTAATTAAATTGATTTTTATACAAAAAAAAATCGCATTTATCTAACTTTAGAGCCATTAAGGTGACTAAACCATCCTATCCCAACCAACCTCTTCCCTCGCCATAATATCATTTGTTTGTTCTGCAATCTTGTAGCTTTGGTCAAAATTTGAACCAAATCGGTCATTATTTACCTATTTGAAGCTATATTTCTGAGTATAAATTGTATAAACACAATTTTCAAAGTGTTGTCACTAGGTGGCGTTGCAAACGTCCCCAAACTTGATAACATATTAGAAAATTATATGCTTAACAACTTTGTCGAAGACTAGAAGACGATCCGAGTTGATCCTGAAAAGTTATTGAGTTTAAATAAATTGAGTGATTAAAATCGAGGTTGTTTGTATTTTGTTATATATGTCATATATGATTATATGATTTGACATTGATATGACTTTTCAATGTCTCGGCATAAACTAAAACAATATTTTAACTCCATACGGAATCATAACTCGTAAGAAGTAAAAATAGAATAGCAGACAATATTTTTTTTTTATATTGTTAAGAAAAACAAATTTGTATAGGGGAAACGCTCCTATAGTTGCGGTACGTTAGAAGCGTTAGGTTCCTATAGTTGTGTATGGAGTCTCCATACACAACTATAGGAACCTAACGCTTCTAACGTACCGCAACTATAGGAGCGTTTACCCTACCTATGTATTTGTACTAGTCTACATCGATTGATGAAAATAAATAAATATACCGACGAGATACCTGCGATGGGTCGAAGAAAGTCCACGAAGAGACCAGTTGCTGTTGGTACAGCTCCACTTGGTTATTTGGGTGAGATCATGCCTTTTTATTTATTTATACAGCAACCCTTCCCTATCGTTAAGACATCAATTCAGTTTATCGTTTACCAAAACGAACCCTGCTGCAAACCCTACCCTCTTATCCAACATCCCAGTGATTCCTCGTGGAAGTGCAGAGGATTTCTCGGCTTCCATCAAAGCGAGTGTCACGTCAACACATTCCTACCCATTCCTTTCTTGACCTGTGTTCGGGCGCGGCCGGAGCCTAGTTTGAGATCAACAGTTTTTACATATTGAGGATGATTGCTAGTCCCAAGCATCGTCTATTGGTTCTTTGTGTAATTACACTGATCTGGCAATAACAGAGTACCAACCGTGGGCGGTCAATCATGCTCATGCTCAAAAGTTATTATCATTTTATTGAAACGATGTCTGGGAACATATTTTTTTTATTTGGTTAATGTGTTTAGTGATGTTTGGAACGTTAAAAACGCCACCTTACGACAAGCCTTTGAAAAAGGTGTTTTTATATAGGGGAAAAAGGCTCTAATGTTGGCCTATGGATCTAAGCTTGGGCCCATCGCTAAAAATCTGCTATTTATCAATTTTATCTAGATGAACGCGTCATTGGGACGGTACTAATGGATATTTCTGTTCGCTATTGAAAATTTAGTCGATTGCTAAATTTATGTATGGGCCCAAATTGGGGGCATTTAGACCGACATTACATCCATTTCCCCTACATTTAAAATTTCAACTCGGGAAAAGTAGCTTCAATTTGGTAAATGTTGACTGATTTAAGTAAATTTTTTAACAAAGCCTCAGAATTGCAAGTGGTATTACGGCGAGACGGAAGGGTCATGTTTAGGTCATCCTAATGGCGTCTAAAGTTAGAAAAATTCCACTTGTTTGTATAAAAATCATATTTAATTAGAAAAATCTCAACGAATTTCAGTAGAATCGCCATCAATGTGCGTGTATTCCAAAAGCTCAGACTTTTGCTTTCCAAAGCTGTTTAAAAATCAAAAATCGATTGAATTTGGTACTCATGATAATATGTGTTACCAATATGCTGTATCCCTCAACCCTCACTCACCTGGTAGAAAATGTACTTGGCAGCTTGCTCCCCGGTGGGCAGCGTCATTTCCCGCTCGATCGAAAACAGCCACCGGCGCACGCACAGGCAGGTGCTCGAGGCCGTACTGTAGTTCTGCACGTACAGCTGATGGGGAATCTCGTGCGGTTGCAGCTTCCGCTCGAAGTTATACTCGACAATCTCAAACAGGTAAAAATATTGCTGTGTGTACGAGGTCAAACTCGCTCGTTGTACCAATTGTTCCCAGACCAGCTGTGCGTTGGCCGATTTGCGTACCGATACGGTCACAACACTGTGGTCCGGTAACATAATCTTGATGTCCACCGGGGAGGCCGCGATGTCGTCCTCCGAATCGGTGAGAAACTCCTGCACCGCATCGCTTTCGGCAATCACCCGTACGGCACATACTTTTTCCAGATACTGCTCCAAGCCACGCCGCCGAGCGTCCAGTTGCTGTTCGCTCAGCTGGAAAGGCCACTTGCCGGGCAGCTTGGGAAAATTGAAGCCGGTGAATTCCTTCTTGAGAACTTGGTGTAGGTTGGAAAACTCTCGATACCGGCGGGAGCACAACTGCCGCCCTGCCATGTGAATGTTGAACACAACAAAGCGCTCGTTACCCCGGTGTATGATGTTGTAGTCGGGAATGCTGATCGGTAGGCTGCGTTTTTCCGAGTAGTCGATGTAAGAGTATCCACCGGGATCATCCGTTGGTTCAAGACGTTCGGCTTCCTAAAATGGAAATGGAAATTAATTGAAAGCGGTACTGAGCGATTGTGTGAACGTCGAAAAATAACCTGTTGAGTCACCGATATCACCGTCAATGTTAACGTATCTCCTCCAGATTTGATGAGATCAACCACCTGTTTGTGAGTCGCACCCTCGACGTTGACGTGATTTCTGCAATAAAGGTAAAAAAAAAGAATCAAACCATTAGTGTATTTCTGCGTTGACATAATAATTTCTCAATCTAGGCAATTTGCTCAACCACAAAAACGGTCGCGCAAAAATGCAACCAACAATAATTTATCACCATAGAATCATAAAGCACTGACGACGACGACAACCGCGATGAAAAGAACCTGATAATGAATCGGATTTGAATTATATAACCTCCGGAGGCTGCCTCTGCCATAGACATTTGCAGTGTCATTGCGTTTCGCGTGGACCATTGTTCTTTAATACGCATTTACCTACACTAACTACACTCTCGCAATGGGACCGAATTAAGGAGAAAACTAACCCATGCCTTTCTGCAGCAGCTACTTTGGCACTGATGGTGGGAATCGGTTCCGACAGCGGTTGACCCGTGGTCGCTCGGGAAAAAATGTCCACATCTTCATCGCCATCCGTTTCATCACTATCATCCACCAGATCACCGGTGCTGGGATGGAAAATCGTTTTGTTTTTCGACAGTACATATGACGAGAAGAGACTTCGTTGCATTGTACGGAACGTGATCCGACCAGGTGGGCGGGCAAAACTTGTAGTTACACGAGAAGCACGGAGCAGCTCACTGCCTAATGGTTAGCAACGCAAATCTACGGAGCTTTTATCTCGATGGAGATTCAAATGAGAACTGAAGTCGGAAAACTGCTACTGGATGCCACCGCTTGGTACCGGGGGAAACCGAGAATGGGGTTGGGTGGTGTTAAATTAAGCACAAATTGGCGCAACTCGTTGGGTAAAGATGTTCAAAACAATTTACAAATGGACACCCTTCAATGATTGCAAAGGAAAAATTTGGATATTGATTTTAATTTGATTCGTAATAAAATCACCTTCTCTGACCCTATTCGGCACCAAACGCCTTCGTGTATGATGAGATTTATTGGGTGATTTATGCTTTTATTGCAAAGCTCTAAGCTCTAGAAATCCCTCCGGATATAATGAGAAGATAAATTATCTCAATTTCGAAATGAAAAAGGCTACAGTACCCAATCCTAACGTGTAATTTTACCTCTACTGCTTTCATAATTGACGACTCAGACTCCATGCTTCGTTCAGCTAGACCGAAAACATGATGGGGAGAATGAAAGGTCAACATTGAAGGTGAAGGGACCTTTAGGATGTTCCACGCCATAGGATTATCTCCTACACCTGTACTGCCGATGGAAGCATAATTTCCCATGTGTATATGAAACTCAATAGGACATGGGACAATTATGCGTCCACTGCGTCTACAGTGTGGGTTCGATAATTTTAACACGTATTGAATGTCTTTAATTTCCTCGTGCTTGGTATTTAAGCTTGCGGTGTTTCAGTCGTTGTAACCCTTTTCTAATATTTTTCTAGACTTTCCGGATAATTGTTAAGCTTGGAGATGCTCAGAAAATCAGGTAGGCTAAATGATGGCTTCGGCACCCCTTGACTGCTTTCGGCAACCAAAATATGAACGTTAATTTCGCTGTATTTTCACACCAAAACACTTCGCTGGATGTATTTAAACGATTCCTTTGTCTTTCAGCTACAATCTGATTACATTTTTATGACTGAGCAAACCTGTTATGCCAGGTTTTTCATCAAATGAAACATACGCACTACGAAATGCGGCTGATTTAGAGTTGCCGATAATAGAACAGCTGGCTAACACGTAGTTCAAATGAAAAGGTTGCCGAAGAAAAAGAGGCTGCCGAAAATAGTCAGACTCATCTGAGATGGTTGGAACGTTGTAAAAACGGTTTTAACCCGTTTAGGACAATTTGGTCGATTGGAATGGATAGAATAGCAAGCAGCAGTGATGCAAAATATCATGACACTCACGTGACACTCGCCTTCGCATCAACCGACTATCGCTGACAGAACGTTTTGTCACGCAGTGAGAGTTAGAGCCATGGCAAACAACAATCACCAGTAATGGTCGCTGCTCACAAGCAAAACGTTACACTCGCTGCTGATGATGAAACGCACAACGAAAACAGTGAAGACTTCTGCAGTACGATGATGAGAAATAGCGAAACGACAGAAAAAAAAATGAAAACAATGCCTACGCATTCCAAGTTCGTCTCGGCAGGCACGACTGTGTGAGTTACAAACAAAGCAGGCAACATTAAACGGAAGAGGTTGGGCTCACTCACCAGCACACTCACATATGCAAGCAAAATAGCAACTGCTTCAAAACGAGCACATATGAGTGTCGTGATTATCGGAAATGACCAGATCGGTGATGGGTCACAACCGAAGACGACATTCACCAGTTGCTTTTTACTTCTTTCGTCAACTTGAGGGATGGTCATGGAGAGCTCTTCGACGAGCACATTGATAGGCGAAGCCTGTATGAAGTTAGAGCAATTTTAGGAAAACGTTCGATTTTCAACAATTTTTGTAGTGGACGGCTCTTAGTATAATTAGCGGCACCTTTATTATTACTACAAATGAGCAAAATTTCAAATAAATTTAATGCATTCTATTTAAAAAAAAAAGTTGATTTTTCAGAAAAAGGCGTTTTAAGATACTCAACCAAATAAACCCAATACTATACTGATGACCGATAAATGTTTGATGAACCAGCAGCCAGAAATCTATGCAGGGTGTCCATTCAAATCCCGGTTTTTTTTCCCGGTTATTTAAAAAAAAACTATACCTTAAACAAAAAAGGCATTCAAAAATAACCATTCGGAGATAATAATATTATTTTGACAGCAGAATTGCGTCTACTTTGCAGGGTTGGTAGTGGGTATTTTATACAATAGTAGTGACTTTATTGACTAAAATAACGAAAAATTGACCAAATAGTGACTTTAAAACAATACAAAGATATGGATCCAATCTGTCGTTGAATGCAACCCGCTTTGAGAAATATTATAAACACACAAACCACCCCACAAGCATTTTTCAAGCTTCTTAAAATAAAACAAATGGTTGAAGGATTCCATAAATTTGTCATCGTAAAATCAGTATTAATTGGTGTTTTAATTTTTGGAAACCAACCATTTTAAAGTTGAATTGAGATTCAGATAACGAATTGGTTATTAGAACGAATTTCGGGATGGGAAAGATTGAACATAGAAATTAATTAGGAAATCTTGAAATTGAGAAAAATTTAGGTGCATAGAAAAATGTTCAAAGTCTAGGACAAAAATTTAAATTTTAAGATAAGTAATTTTAAAGATCTCGACTATAGAAACTTCTGCAAAAGTTCAAACATAGACAGATCATAGTCTAAGAAAAGTTATCATTATTCTGGAACGAAAAAGACAATCTTACATGAGCGGTGATGAATTCTATAAAATGCAATTTGATGGACTTGGAATAGAATTTCTGAAAAAAAGAAGATTCTACTTCATGATTTTTCGATGTTTGGACAGATACTAATTCTTTAATTTAATGAGAGAAATGTCTAAGTATATTATATAAGTATTTAGTTACATACTTCAAATTATATTTTTCGTATGCAAACTAAACTGGTTTGAAAAAAAAAACAGAAGTAAAATAATTATTCCATTACGTATATTCAACGTTCGCTGAGTTGTGTCGACTTTTCACCAACCAAAGAACAATCGCTAACTAAAATGCATATCATGTGTCAAACCTGCTAATAAAAAAATATTTAACAGATAAATATCCATTAACGGAGTACACTGGATTCGCTTTTTACACGGGTGATACGTCCCGCGTAAAAAAAAACCGCGTAAATTCTGGAATCCGCGTAAAAAACCGCGTAAAAAAAAACGTGTAAAAAAAACCGCGTAATAAGCGACTCTAGTATATAACGATAAATTGCGTAAATTCTAAAATCCGCGTAAAAAAAAAATCCAAAATCCGCGTAAAAAAAAAACCGTGTAAATTCCGAAATCCGCGTAAAAAAAAACGGTGTAAAAAAAAACCGCCTAAAAAGCGACTCCAGTGTATTTGTTTCAGTCCAAGGTTTCCCACTTAGCTAACGTTTACTGTAATCAAGTGGCTTAAGGTCAATTTCTTGACCTCCACTCAAGCCTTAATCCTGGTTTAACTAAATGGGTACATTGGTCCTTATTGGCGATAGTGTCATTTATATGTCATTAACACTCTGAACCCAAAGCCTCGGTAAAATTTGTAACGGCAAACTTGAAATGTTTGAAAAATCATAGCTCAGCCATTTATTGACAAATTTCAAATTTATTGGCACCATCTGAAACTAGATACTTTAAACATTTATGGTATCAATAGATTTAAAATCTATAGATAAATTGTAGAGCAATGATTTTTCAAACATTGCCAATTTTCTGCTACACATTTTACCGGAGGCATCGTGTTCGGAGTGGTAAAAGAAGGGGTACAGTTTCCATTCAACTCGCACTTTCTCTTGTCAATCACGTATCCAGCACCGAAAGCAAGATTTGTGATAGATCAGTGCACGTAGATGTCAAATTTGACAATTTTAAGTGGTTTGCCTTCACTTTTACTCTGGTGTTAAATGAAAGGGATACAACAAGACCAAATTGTGAGGTTAGGGACCGTGCACTGATCTATATGAGCTTTCATCGTGTTTGTACTGAGTCTGTGTTCCATTTGGTGAATTTTCACTTAAATTTTACAGATGGAAAATTTTCAAATAAACTTGCTATTGAACCAGACTTATTTTTGAACAGACCAAAAATCAATTTTGACAAACACCTTCTCGAAAATAGGAAGGTCAACAACAGAGGGATTTTCGAACATCTTAATTTATTTTCGAAGTGTCAAAAGAAATCCGCGACTTCAATTACTAATCCGCGACAAAAAAAAAATGTTTTCATTACCTAAAAATACCATTCGTATACTACTACATGGCATTTCAAGCTTATTGCATATAGCATATTAGATTTTGCCTGCTCTGAACTTAGTGTTATTTGAAGTACCTTCACATTGATTTGAGAGCTTTCTATGCCTGTACCATTCTATGCCCAAGGAAGTAGAGAAATTTGCCAACCCGAAAAAAT